TGCATATTAATCAGTTGGACAATAATAATCACTGATGGCACATTAATAATTAAAACTTTAATGCAATGAATTTATTGATGTAATTGTCTTTATTTTCTCCTTGTGTTTTGCCATAAAAACACATGTTGACTTGTTTTTTTTTTAAATTTCATTTATTTTAGGAGCAGGAATTTTAACACTGATGGGTGGTGTTCTCTTAGCACTGATAATTTTCTTAGTTGTGGGTGTAGCAGTCATCTGTTCTCGGAGAAAGAAACAAAAAAAACAAACCTACAAAACAGGAAGGTAAAAAAAAAACTTTGTTCTTTTTATAATTACATATAAAAAAAATTCTGTTTGCTGTTTTTTAAATAAACAATTTTTATTCTTTGCCAAAAGTTTGTTGATACATCAAAAAAGCCAGAAGTGAGCAAAATTAAAAGTCTTTTTTTTTGTGCGCATTTTGGTCAGAATCAGTTAAACGATTTCACAATTTTCAGTCTACTGAAGAAATGATGGTAAACTTCTGTTTAGAACTCAAACGATTATTTTAATGACTCACTTATGTTACTTTATTCCTCTTGCTTCTCTGCCAAGGAAGAAGATGACCAGGAAATAAAGTTTACTGATGTCAGTCTCACACAACAGCAAGAAAAGCAAGTTGTCAAAGAGGGGAGATAGAGGTGGAGACAGAGTAATCCCAAGTCACCCATGTGATTTACCCAGGGTTGTGAGCTTTATGATGTTTTGGGGTTTTACTCATTTTTCAAATTAATTTTGTTCAATGGGGCTTTAGGTTCATTGTGGTTAATGGTGAGTTTGGTGTTCAAGCTCAATAATCTTCTGTTCACATTCTACCTTCTATTTACCTTTGAATGTCATCTATAGATCTATATTTTTAGTTCATTTTCATTGGGAGCAACCAGGATGGACAAGAGTAGAAATTAGTATATTAGAGGCACAGCTCAGGTTGAGCAGTTTGGAGACAACATGGTTGTCATGTTGGACATGCAGAGAGCTGATATGATAGGAGAGGATACTGGGGATAGGAAGACGGACTGCTGGGATGGCCCCTAAAAGTACCAGATGGAAGAAGAGGTATTCCTGACCTGCCCAGACAGTTTATAATAAAACATCAGAGGGTAAACCTCATCTTCTGTTTCTGTCCTCTTATTTTAGTATCTCATTTTCTCCATATACTGTATTGTATATAAATGTAATCATGAACACAGGTTACAAACATTGCACAAACTGCTTTTATTAAAAAATGAATTCATTAAAATATGTGCTGCAGTCTGTGTTCATCCAGAGTTAAATGTAGTGACACAGTAGAATATAACAAAAATAAATAAAAGAATAAAAATGAGGCTTTTCATTTTAAAACCTGCATGTGTGCTTGTGGTTTGTGCAGTAGCAGTTACTATTGCTTCACTGTGCTTCCTTCTGTGCACAATGACGGTTTTACCTGACATATAACATCAACGAACAGAACTTCAGACAACACTTCAAAACTGAGCAAAACAACAAGCAATAATGTCTGTGAAGGTGTTTCAAGGTTTGATGGAATCTGTTATTTACATTTCTTAAATTAAAAACAATTGTGGCTTAATTACACACTTTTTTTGTAATTTTTGTGTACTTCAAAGTGCTTAAAAAACCCCTTTAACTTGTTAATTTAATTTAGCTGTAAATATCAAGTGTCGATGAAAAAGCATAATAAGTTGGACAATATTGCACATAATGTCATCTTTGTATATATCTATTTACTTACTGTATATAATGTTTTTCTCTCTATATTTTGCACAGTCGAGGAGCGTATCAGGTCACATTTCACTTCGTGTTATACTTGTATAACTATGTACGTGAAAAATCCTGAATTGAATCTTGAATAAAATTACAAAATTGGTTTAGGAGTTTTAGAGTTTTAGTATTACTAAATTAATGACTGCAGTCTGTCTTCTCAGTCTCTGCAGTTGTATTGTAGTCACATCCTGCCTGGTCTGAGTTCACACATTCTTATTTAGAAGCTGATCACTAAAACAGGAAACATGGTCAGAGGTTTTGCCTATTTGTGTCTTAGTAAAGTACAAGGTTTACTTAAAAGCTGCCTGCTCAGTCACAAGAGGCTGAATAGTGAAGAAACACAGAAAATGTGTTTGTGTAGGTGATACTATTAGTTGTCCTTTGTGGTGAACTGGGTTTAATTATTTGAAACCTGTAGCAACCGTGATATTAAAGACAGTCACTAAATAGATTGTAATGAACGTTATGTGTGAGTTCACTAGGCAAGATCTGTAGTCACTCATTTGCCTGCTTCTCTGTTCTCTACCTCACTGCCACTTTCCCACGCTGTCAGTCTCAATACCGTCATCTTTACTCTAGTCCAATCATCTTCTTACTCACCTTCTTTGGGCTAATCAGTGTCCACTGCGCTCTTTATCATTCTCCTTTCCTCATTCATGCAGTTTTTTCAGCTTTTTACATGTGGCATATCATTAATATATATTTACATGTTATATATCAGCGCAAGGTCGAAGATTTGGTTTTGGCATTGGTGGGGACAGATGATTCAGCCACTGAACCCTGCCATGTTTCTTTTTTTTTTTTTGTCTTTGCTTCTTAATACAAAGAGGAGAAATATACTTGCCTACATATGCTATTCTACATGCTTTTAAACCATTTAAAATCACAATTCATAGTTTTATATGTGAATTATATAATGTTAAATTACTATTAAACAAATGACTAAGTATTTTAGACTTTAGTTTACCTCGGCCATATTCCATATAAATCAGGTATTCAAAAATAAAAATAGTTTCAAATACAATCATGACAATAAAAGAATATGACTTTAAGGACTTAACAACATTACTTCATATTATAGTACACCAACATCTCTTATACAAAACTACTCATATAAGATTACCACAAAGTAAAAGATCTCTCAGAAAAATTATGCAACATTTTAGGTAAACTACTGCCCCTATCAAATCTGTGAGCTGGGATTTTTTATTCTAAACATGAACTACTGTTACAGCAACAGACATGGACTACTGGTGCCCCACACAACAACTCAATGTCCACTATGTGAAGCAGCCAAACACATGCCTTCTCCTTTCGTTAGCTGAGATAAACTTCTGGCATATTTGTTTTACATCTATACTGTCCAGTCTCTCCTGGTGGACAGGTTATTCATGGTTACATACAATTTTAGACTGATGTGGGCCAAGCCTAGCACATACTTACCAACTTTGAGACCTCAGAATTAGGGAGACATTCAAAAGGGCTGTTGGGGGTTGGGGGGTGGGAGTGGTATACATATACACAAAAAACTTGAATCTTACAGTGTTTATTTATCAAATAAAATAAGTTAAATGTCACTGTTATTATTGTCCGGCCGGAAACAGGCCGGGGGTGTCCAAATTCTGAAGCTGCGTCCACCAGAGGACCCGGCCTTCGCAGTCATGGGCCGGGTCCTCCATTTTTTTCCTGAATTATGAAGAAATATGGGCCCCAGTTGGGCAGCACGTAGTGTGGGCTGCCCATAATAAGCAGAGAGGGTTCCACAGTGGGGCCAATTGTACATATAGTAGTATTTCCACACTCTAAGGCAGGGGTATTAAACTAAAATTTGAGGAGGTCCAGTTGGAGAAAATCTTCTCAAGCAGAGGTCTGGGACACGTCCTCCGTGTCAGGAGCACGTTGTTGGGCGGTGAAAGAACTGGTTAAGATCCTTGTGGATTGATCATATTGGGCTCTGAGACTGCTAATTTTCTGGGACCTGAGTTCAGACTTGGGTGGGTATGATTGTTCAAAGGCTTTGTGCTTTGCCTCATAGCGGCGTTTGACATTGCCACTTTTAATCAGTGTCACGGTTTCTGAACATATGAGACACACTGGTTTGCTGCTTGCGGCTGGAGGAATGAACATATATGCGTCGGTCCATTCAGTCTTGAAAGTTCTATTTTCTCTTTTTTGAAAGCGCCATAGTTGTTTTACCTCTTGTGACTCCACCTCACATCTTGTCTCCCTGTATCGTTTATCGCCTCGCTTGTCATTCGCCTCTCACCGTCTCTTTCCTCTGTCTGTCTGTGTCTGCATTCAGCGTTGCGATCGCCTTGAATGCACAGATTTGATTGGCTAAGTAGTGTCACGTGGGTGGCTTAACTCACACTCGCTTGGTTTGTATGTTCCCTGGTCTAATACAATGTAATGTTACCGCTTAAAATTGAATCGCCCCATCAAAATTAAATATAATTTAATATTTTGTTAACTATAGGTCCGGGTCCACATAGGATGGCGTCTGGGTCCGGACTTGGACACCGGTCCGCCTGTTAGTGACCCCTGCTCTAAGGCTACGTCCACACTAGCCCCGATAAATTTGAAAATGGTGCTTTTGTCTGAAACGCCAAAATGGAGAAAGAAAATATGTGTTTTCAAATGACAACGTATTAGTGTGGACATGGCCTAAGTGTGGGCTGCCTTACATGAGCCCCTAAGATGTGCCCCACATTTCACACTAATATACAGTACAGTACTTCTGATATTGAACATAAAATACTTTTGGTTTTAAACAAGTATTTTCAACATCATGAACAGAAAGCGAAAATATAACATGAATGCAGTCAGTTATAAATAAGTTGCGTAACCGTGTCGCCTCAGTGAAGACATAAAGTCAGACTATTTAAAAATGTGTTGATTATCAAAAAGTAATCCAGTGCAACCAATGATATGAAGCGAAAATGAAACCTTTATAAATAATTCCGAAATCTTTTCCCCCTAATTGTCTATATTTATTTGTGTTTGTGGGGCCAAAAAAAGAAACAAACAAACAAAAGAAAAGAAGTTGTTAAGTACAACATCAATGAAACCTGACACCAAAATTTTTAAGAATTCTTCTCTGAGGCTAATCGCTAACAGGGCACACTGGAGCCTGTTCAGACCAGCACACACACGCCTGTTTTTGAGTAAAAAACTTTGAAAGCTGCAGACTGTATCAACAAAGGCTGAACACTGAGCAGACATGGAAGCTGTAGCTGGACTGTTGTTGATGTTGTTCGGAGTTTCTCATGGTGAGCTACAAAACTTGCTTAATACCTAATCTTATAACAATGAGATGTTTTGCAGCCACGGAATCTAGTACAGTCCATAAAATAAGTTTGGAACAAAAAGAACAACAACAACAAAAGACAAATTTTTCCAGCTTGCTTGGCCTGCTTTTCTTTAAACATTAATGTGCCATTCTGAGATCATTGAATATGCAGTAAACACATATAAGTAAATACAACTATGACAAATTACCTCATTAAACAACTGTTCTATTTCATACCAGACATTTTTACTTTTTTTCTTGTAGAAAAGTACAGGCTACTTAAAACATTTGATGATGGTGTGGTAAGGCAACATGCACAGCTGCAGAGTCTAAACGCTACAGCAGCTAAATACAATTCAGACATTTGTTTTGTCGTTTGGAAAATTGCAATTTTCCAGCTAGGTTTTGTAAATTTTCATCTTGATGAATATCTGCACAAGGAAACTAGAGCTGCTAACTTACCCCAAACTATGTTTCAGTCACAGACCTGTATAATACATATCTGTTCACAAATAAAAGCTTTACATTAATGGACTTAAACTGACAATCATCAGAAAATGTAACCACAGTCCTTCTGGCAGGGACTACAAACTAAAATCCACAAGTTCCCGTGGACAATTTTCAGATATATTTTTTTGCTTTCCCAGTTATTCATTGGAGACCAAAATCCTGTCACGGTATCAGAATTGATCTGTGTGTTTCTCTCAGCTCCTGTGTCCTCTGTCCTGCTGGTCTCTGAGTGTCTGTCCCAGGGAGAGATGAGGGCGTCCTGCTCCTCTGAGGGAGGGGACAGTCCTCAGTACAGCTGGACTCTGGATGGACGCACACTGACAGATGCTGAGCTCCTTTCTGGAAATAATGAGACTAACATCATCACTCTGAAACAGCACGTCTCAGGACATCTGGTCTGCTCAGTCAGTAATAACGTCAGTGATGTCTTCAAAGAAGAGAGGATATCTACCTCTGGTGAGTGAGGTCTTTGTAAATAATATCTGATAATCACTCAGCAATTGATATGCTCACTTTGTATATCTTTAGCAAATTACGTGGGTTTCTTTGCTCATAGGCTTTATTTTCATTAACTGCACTTCAGTCATCAGGACACAGATATCAGAGTGTGTGCATAAAACTAATAACACTGTGTGTACTGAACCAGCAAAGAGTTCTGTGGGTAAGGAAAAAGAAACTGCCATCAGAGATGAATCATGATGGATTAGTAAGTGAAAACTAAGTAGATCCAATGAAATCAGTTTTTTCATCTTTTGTTGTCTTTTATCTTTGAAACATGCAATTTGTCATTGATTGGTGGTGGACTCTCAGCTCTGGTAATTTTCATGGCTGTGGGTGCAGTTATCATCTGCTCAGAGAAAAAGAAAAACGACAAACGCCTAAAACAAAACGGTAACAAACATCTTTTTTTTCTTTCTCCCATTACTCAGGTCGCTCTTTTTTGCATTTTTTAAGAAGATAAACAGAATAATTGAGCACTTTTAAATAGTTTTTTTTTTAATTCTTGCTAAGAGTTTATTGATATCTGTTATGTGTCAGTTAAATATGCAAGTATTGTTAACCAACTACCTTTAACACAAAGTGTTTGAAAGCAATTTTGCCCAGCTTTGTAAAGCTTAAAGCTCCCAAAAGAATGTTAAAAGTCATGTTTTATTTATTTATTTATCTATGTAAAATGCAAATCATTTTGCATCTTTGTGGTAAAACGAACTTTTTCCATACAGTGACATTTTTTGACTATTAGCAAACAGTTTCATAGAACATGAAAAATTCTTTAATCATTCACTGACTCTATTTGCTGCTCTGCAGAGAATGGAGATGGCCAAGAAGTCTATGCTAATGTTGGTGTTGTGGCAGGTGAAGCAAAGGGAGAAAATAGCAGAGCTGGAGTTAATCAAGTTTTCAAAATGAACTTGCCAGACTGAAACAACAGGAGATGGTTTTGTTTATGCTAACATCCAAAATATGCACGATAATTTAAGCGGTCACTACTTTTATATAGACTGCATCACCCAAAGTCCATGGACGGAGGAGGTGATGCCAAGATGCCTAGAGGTCTTTCAGTTAATGTGATTTCCCATCGTACAAATATAAACCATCAAGGATCATGCTTATTGATTTATTAATTTATCTTATTTTCACTGTATTGTGCAAAATGGTTCTGTTGTTAGGGAACCTCTGCATTTACTGTTACACTACTACTGTGACTGTTTTCCACACTATTTTTAAATAATTACATTTAAAATCATTACACTTTGTAAAAAATTCAGTGCAGAAAAAGTTTTGGTCATTGATAAAAGATCTGAATGCCCACAGCTGACTTTTCAGTTACAGAAGAAGAGAACACGTTATATTAAAGTTTTGTAGTTGTATTTTTTCTTTGATATCTGCATAATAAATTTTACAGTCGAAACAAAAATAATTTCCTAACTTATTTAAGTACGGTTGTGGTGGGTTGTGGTAAGTGGTGTCACTGCAGGAGAGGGAGCACCTGAACAGCATCCGCAATCACCCTTCACCAGCTTAAAGTCTGTGTTATAACTGTTGTCATTGCTGTTGGTGGTGATGTGTGTGGCTGGCAGCTGTAGAGCTGCAGCCATGTGTTTGTGACAGCAACCGTGAGAGAGTAAAAGTGTCAATAAAGTATGCTGAAAAGCATGTTCATGTATGAATCATCAAATCTGCTGTGGTATGTTTACAACAGTTTAGTTCAAATTTATGTAACATTACTTCATAATGTATGTCATCTCAAGAAACATTACACAATAAAACCTGCCAGCATCATATATTTGAATCTCAGACTGTGTTGATTTTTTATCATAGAGATCACAATAACAATATTGATTATATTCTGTCATTTAGGGAAGTTACGTGATCTGCATCTTGTCAACTTAATTGTATTTTCAATTAGCTCAGAGCCAGTTTACCACAGAACCCTTTAGGTAAGAAGATCTTTGACACTGTATTACAAGCTCAGTCTCAATTCAAATATCATCAAAATACAAAAACTCAGAATAAGATTTATGCAGCTTAACTCTGCTTCTACAGTCATGTTGAAGCTGAAGATGAAAAACTAGATACAAAGAAACTGTCAGCATGGTTAGAGTGGTGTAGTCTCTCCTTTTTTCTGCTTGTCATCAGAAAACATCTGTGGCATATTTACATATAAAAATTAAACTGTTAACCTGATCTAGGGCATATAGATTTTAGGAATTAATGTGTAAATAGTGTTCTTAAAGAGAACTTTATAAAAATGTCACAAAGTAAAATGGCCTGTATTTGTATAGCGCTTTACTTGGTCCCTAAGGACCCCAAAGCGCTTTACACGTTCAGTCATCCACCCATTCACACACTGGTGATGGCAAGCTACAATGCAGCCACAGCCGCCTTGGGGCGCACCGACAGAGGAGAGGCTGCCAGACACTGGCGCCACCAGACCCTCTGACCACCACCAGTAGGCAACAGGTGAAGTGTCTTGCCCAAGGACATACGACCAAGACTGTCTGAGCCGCGGCTCGAACCGGCAACCTTCCGGTTACAAGACGAACTCCCAACTCTTGAACCACGATCGCAACAAAGTAGATAACGCTTCTTTCTCTACCAAAGATGTTATGTGAAAATACAGGGTTTCATATATTTTCCTTACGTACAGCTACACTGTAATATTCGTTCATTTGTAGAATATATCAAATAATATACTCTGGACTGAAAATCTTTATTGAATCTCTCCCTCGTTCTCTCTGGCTCTTTTTAGTGAAATTCTAGCAGCTTAATATCAGATATGACCACCATTATTCTTCAACACAGTATGAACTCTGTTAAGTAAATCTTCTTGTAATTTCTTTAAGTAGCTTTCAGGAATAGTTATCCAGGGTTCTTCAAGGACATTCGACGCTCTTCTTTGAAAGTTGGCTGTGATTTCTGCTGTTCTTTCAAGATGATCCTACACTGCTTAAATAATAGTGAGTTGCAAGTTTTGGGGAGGCCAAACCATGACTGTCCAGTCCTGGGTCAGTAACCCAGAGTTTGGATTTATTTTATTATTATTATTATTAATCTGTGACTTCATGGTTTATGATTACTAGTGTTTTGGTTTCTGTTTAAGCACTCTAGTCTTTCTTTGCTCTGGTAATTCTAGTTTTTTAAGTTTTGTTCTGGTGCCCCCATGTTTAGTCTATGTTTAGTTCTGTCCTCCTGTTTGTCTTGTTCCCCAGTCACTAGTGTCTCATGTCACTCCTGTCCCTGTACTCAGTGTTCTCTCTGTTCAGTATCTAGTGTGGGTCTCTGTGTCTGTCATGTACTTCCTGTTTTATTTTGACTGTTCTGCTCTATGTTCAGCCTCTGTTCCCCGTCTGGTCTGTGTAATTAGTACCAGCTGTGTTTCCCTTCTCTCCCATTTCTTGATTAGTTAGATTACTCCGTCCATCCCAGTTTATATGTTCTGTTTCCCTGTTTTGACACCCAAGTTTGTACAGCACAATAAAGCTGCCTTGTATTATTGGGAATAAAGAGAGCTCAGTTTTTATCATATTAAGAAAAACTGTTTTGTTTCTCCTAGTGAATACTTTGAATTGATCCTTTAACATCTGGTATCTAAATATTTCTGAGCTGCTGCCCGTCAGTTCAAGGTCCACAGTTACTCCGGAAGGAAGCAAAACAAAAACAAAAAGAATTTAAATATTTATTTAAAACAAACATATTTTTTCTGGATCTGTTTGTATCAGTTGAAGTAAATAAATTATATGCAAAATTTATATAAGTCTGTGAGTAAAACACAGAGATCTGACAACAACACTAAAGAACATCTAAATATTAGTTTAATTGAACTTACCTAATTAGCTTATCCTAATAATGCGATGCATTGTGTTTGTTACTTAAGATGATGTGACGGAAAGGAAAAAGTAAGTGATAAGAACTGCGGACATGACCAGACTTACTCTGTGACCTGCCTTTGTTTAATTTCTGTTTGCTCGATGGGGAAGTTCACACACGAATCCCACAGGCAGGTTAGGGTTGGGGTGGCTGGTGCCAGTCACAAATCTGGATAAATGGTGAACGTTGCATCATGTCAAATATGGTAATATGTCAAACACATATCACTTGTGTCAGGGGCCGTGTTAACAGCAACCTGTAACAGAACAGTAACAAATATCTTAGAGGTGAAGTATGTGCAGAAACAACAGCAGTGTGTGAAAATGATGAGAATGATTAATGTGTTACTGATTTCAGAACTGTATTAAGAGTGGTGAGAATAACATTTCTGCTGTGAGAATTGTGCAAATGCAATCAATAAAAACTGTAATATCAATTTAGTTAAGCTGTTACACACACTTCAAACCTACCTGACCCCTGTGAGGATGCCACCTACAAATATGTCACTGCAATAATTCAGAACAAATAATCTGGCAAAACTTAATAAGTGTAATTTCCCAATTTCAGATTGATGACAGAATATGGGAAAGCATTGTTTTTATGATATTCCTGTAAACATCAGTGCAAAAATGCTTTGAAGCTGTATAATTCTTAATCACTGGAGGGCGCCATTATCTAAAAACTGAGCTGATTCCATTATGAATTCAGTGTTCAGGTTTTAAAATCAAATGTTACATTTCAAACCCAGTTTGGCTTAACTATGTTTTTGTTGAGTGAGTCAGGGGTGACAGAAGAATAGCAAGAAGAGTGAGACATGCTATGATTTATGGTTTGGATCTGGATGTTAAGATCTTCAATGGTAGTAACCCGAATGTACAAGACTCAAAATAAGTATATCAGAGGGAACAGCTCAGGTTGAGGATTTTGGAGACAAAGTTAGAGAAGCAAGTCTGAGAGGGTTTAGACATGTGGTGAGGTTTTTAAATACTGGAGAGGTGTAATCGAGGGTGCTGAATATCGAGCTGCCAGGCAGGAGGAAAACAGAAAGCCTGCAGAAGTTGATAATCTACCGTGGTGACCTCTAGAGGGAGCAAACAAAAGAAGATGAAAAAGCTGTGGTTTTCCTGATCTGCCCAGGCAACTAATATATAATATCAGAGATTATATTTCAATCTCCACACACATATTCTGCTTTGGATTTCTTCTTTCAGCATCTATTTTCCTCAAAATACTGTATCATATACAGATGTAATAGTTTGAACGCACCCACATTGCCTAAACTATTTTTATTAAAAATTAAAAGCAAAAAAATAAAACATCAAAAGGCATTGTGTACCCTGTGCTCATCAGTCTACATTTTAAACATAGACATAAACATAGAGCAGGAGCACAATATAACCAAGAAGAGTTATTGAGAGGCTCTGTGACACTTTTTTTGTGTTTCACTTCTTTCTGTGTGCAGTGATGGTAACAGTTGCTGTGCAATGACATTGATGTCTCCTTTTATGGCGAAACCTAACATGAGACCTCGACACACAGAAATTTGGTACATTTCAAAACCACTGAAAAACACAACAATCATTAATGCCTGTGAAAGTGTTTCAAGGTTTGACAGGTAAAAATAATTGACTGTTTTTCATTAAATTGGTAGGCAGCTTCTTTCTTTTGTCTCTCTTTGCAGCTCTATTGTAGTCACATCCTGCCTGGTCAGTGTTCACACGTTCTTCCACCAACAGGAAACATGGTCAGTGTAGGTTGTGCCTTTTTACATCTTGGTAAAGTAGAAGAGTTTGTCTGAAAGCTGCCTGCTGAATAGGCTGAATGGAGAAGAAACACAGAAGCTGTGTTTGTGTAGGTGATGCTGATATCATATTATTATTTTATATTACTGATGATGCTATTATTGCATCATATCTGTGGTGAGCTGTATTTAATTGTTTGAAATATGCAGCAGCTGGGGTAATAAGTGTTGTCACCGAATCGATGATAATATTATCTTTAGTGTTCTGCAGCTTAAAGGTTGAGCTACACTTATGATAAATTTATACAAAAATAAAATTCATTATAAGTTTTCCTTGGATTTAAAGTTGCCTGGATATTAAATGAAAGCTCTCTTTGCTACAATCTCCACTGATGTTTGTGGATGATTACTATTTACACTTATCACATGTAAGGAATCACTCGGACAGCTGAAAACTGTACCAGCACGCATTGAACAGTGAGAAAAGATGGAAGCTGTGCTTGGATTGATGATTGTTCTACTGGGAGTTGCTCAGGGTGAGTTTTTCAGCTTTTGAGATGCAACACTTTTATAATGTAAAAATCTTATATATCAACAGTGTGTTTTGAAGCCATGGCATGTGTTAGTACATTTGACTACTTGAAAACAGCCAAAGGATCTCTTGTCTTTTATTTGTTTATAAGTTCAGCTTATTTACAGTATGCACTTAAGGTAAAAACAAGCAGTGCTGAGTTATAGTCATGTTGGCAAATACAGATTTCCAACATGACTAATGTGTTCATCAGTTACAGTAGCGGTATGATGCAGTAGTGTTGAGTGATATATTTTTTAAAGTTTTTAACTGGAAAAAATATAGCTGCAGATAAATGGAGAAATTCTTTACTTTGTGCATTCATTTTTAGAATTTAGGCAGTTTTTGTTCATCCTTGCTGCACAAAACCAACTTCTTCTTCAACTTCTTCTTCTTGTAGTTTTTGTGGTTGAAATGGAATTACCTCATAATGGAATCTTTTTACCTATTTTCTTTTTCCCACATCTAAGGATGTTTACTTTTCCAACTAAATGTTAAAACTTTAAATTAAAATTTCGTAAGGTACAAAAAGTAGCTTGGTTTATTCAAAATTTTATTGCCATGATTTAGTAATTGTAGTTGTCATAGGTGACATACACACTGTTTACTTACCAAATTGCTTTAGTAGTACTCTATTTTCTGCACTATAAGGCACATTTAGAATGCTTACATTTTCTCAAAAATCAGCAGTGCGCTTTATAATCCGGTGCGCCTTATGTATGAATTCTGGTTGTGCTTACTGACCTCGAACCAATTTTATGTGATAAACCGTTCTCAAAAATCTGTCAAAAAGATTTTTAGTACGACTTTGGTAAGCTACGAAGCCGCACTGCTGTCGGAGCATTATGGATAACATAGTCAGGAGCCTCACGGAGTCTGTTCAGGTCCTAAAGATAAATGAACACTGGGCCATCACTGGGAGTTAAAAACCTTCTAAACGCTTTCATCTTTAATATAATGATCAGCATTGCTGCTTTACCAGGTGTAACAATTAAGTTAAAAATCGAGGCATCCATGAAAACAGAATTTATTAAATTTAATGGAGTTAGAAGTTAGCAGGGAGTTAGCTCGCTAGTTTCCACCTAAACAGGATATACCATGTTCTGACTGAAAGATTTCGTAAACAAATTAAGACGTACAGCTCTGCTATCACTTCCGACATAAATGAAGAGAGAAACTAAACAGCAGTGACGTTTGTAATGTACAGAGATGGGCAGTAACTTCCAGTCAGAGAATGTTGCATATAATTAAATTTTTGCTAGATGCATAAAGTTAAAAGATTAAAACTAACAAAACAAGTTTTAAAAAGAGACTTTTCCATTTGGTTACATTTTGTATGATGGATTATGTAGAAAAAGTAGAATTGGGCTGAAAGATCTATCGCTTTATCACCTATTCAGGTTGTAAATTGTGTTTTTAAAAAGTAACTAAGTAATTAATTACTTTTGAAAATAAGTAATCAGTAAAGTAATGGGATTACTTTTGGGGGGAAGTAATCAGTAATTAGCTACTGATTACTTTTTTCAAGTAACTTGACCAACACTGGTAATGTACACTATATAAATGGTGTATATAGACAAAGGCATCTCTTAATATTTGAATTCAGGTGTTTTCGGTTACATTGCCGCAGGCATATTAAATCAAGCACCATACAGCCCACTTTTACAAACATTTGTGAAATAATGCAAAGCTTTAAAGGACTCCATGAATTGATCAAATAATGAAATAATACAATAAATCAAAATTCAAAGTATAAAACCAGGGACAAAAATTTTATAAAAAATAAAATGAATTGCAAATAGCAGTAGTAAAAAGACGAAACATAGCTATCAAGTTGAAGCCTTCAATTTGACACTATTATAAACTCATATTGTGTTTGTCTCATATGATTCTAATTACAGATGTAGGCCTGTCGCTGGTATTATTACATAGAGTAATGATGTGAAACCTTTCAAGTATAAAACTAGGGACTGCTCTCACTTCCAACATAGATGAAGACAGAAAACTAAACAGCAGTGACTTTTGTAGGGTTACTAAAGTTGGGCTGGTTGGTATATAATGATTTGCTACATGATCGCTAGTGACACAGCTATGTTAGCACAACATAAACACAGTGAAGCTAGAGGATGAATGCTAACTTTTTTCCACTCAATAAAAGTTAATGTAAGGGTTCCCGATGGTATTCGGACAAATGCAATCGCATGGCAGGATGCTATAAACAGACCAAACTTCAGTCAGGAGAACAACTGAGATAACCCATCCACAATAAAGGTTAGTCATTAATATACTGCAACAACACAGGAATAGAGCAGCTGAAAGAAGATTCAACATTCATGAATCAATGGTACGGAAATGGAAGAAAGAAAATATGGTATATTTAGTCGTTAAGATATCTCTAAATTTTGGACTTTACTACTGTAACGTTGCAAGTTTGTTGCAAAGTTTGTAGTGACCATGTTTGCAGTGACCGTGTACTGGTGCCTCTATTACCTGTGACATATAAGACACAATGCCAGGTATAATACCTTGTTTTTACACGTTATAACCAATTAACCCACTGTGAGTGAAATATTCAGAATTATTTTTTAATTGCTTCAGTGCTGCTTAATATCTTTTTTATTGTTGTTGTTTTTTTTACAAAAATATTTTTTGAATTTGCAGGTGTGGAAACTTACTGTGATGGCAGACAGGATGGAGCTCAGTGTTATGGAGCTTTGGGAGGAACTGTGGACATCCAGCTGATGGACAGCACCTCAGAAATACCTAGATACCAGTTGTTAAAGAATTCTTTAAAAATATTAGATGTGAAAAATAATCAGGTTAATATGATAGGAAACAGGTCTACCATTATTCCCAGTAATGGAACATTTAGGCTCAATAACCTGAGCAGCAATGACAGTGGTAATTATAGCCTTAAGACCTTTGATTCAGATGGAAGAAAATCAGATGAGTGGACTTTCAAGTTGATCTTTCAAGGTAATTTTTTCCATTTCAAGAAATGACTACAATTATTATATATAGTGCTTAACAAATGTATAAAAACATCAAACATTTTAAACTTTATAGATAAATACTTTATAGTGTTTAAAATATAATTTGGATTAAAGGGCTAATAAATATTGGTGCATGAAAAATCATAGAAACATAAAAAATATATTTGCTAATCATCAATAATGTTTATTTAAGGCAGGTGTGGTATAAACGTTGCATTAGATGGTAGCCTAATAAATGTGTTAAGCCCTGTAAATGTAACATTATTTTGGGTAATCTACATAACATATCATCTTATATAATATATCTCATATTCTGTGTGGTATAGATGGTCCTTTACTTTACAACATAAACAGCTTGAGGCAACTGTTGTTGTGATTTGTTGCTATTAATAAAATTAGATTAGATTAGACTGAATTTGAATATTTAATTGAAAATTCTAAATTTAACTGTATTTTGTGGCTACAATTCTCTTCCTTATATACTATTAAGAATGAACAGTTCTGACATATAATATCAAAACTCATCTGTGTGTGTTTCTCTCAGCTCCTGTGTCCTCTGTCCTGCTGGTCTCTGCGTGTCTGTCCCAGGGAGAGATGAGGGTGTCCTGCTCCTCTCAGGGAGGGGACAGTCCTCAGTACAGCTGGAGTCTGGATGGACGCACACTGACAGATGCTGAGCTCCTTTCTGGAAATAATAAGAGTAACAACATTATTCTGAAACAGCACGTCTCAGGACATCTGGTCTGCTCAGTGAGAAATCATGTCAATAGTGTCTCCAAAGAACAAAGGATATGCACTTGTGGTGAGTAAGAACATGATGCAAAAATATCTTAAGAGTTATGAGTTTTACATTTGTTATAAATTATTGAAACAGCAAATGAATTCCTCAGGATTCATATTCATTAACTGCACTTTATCTGATGGGACACACATTACAAAGTGGGTGCTTGCAACCAAAAATACCCTGTGTATTAAACCAACAATGGGCCCTATAAAAGTCTCTGACACTCCTCTAGGTAAGGAATCAATCCTCTAGTAGTATCACTTACTCCAATGGTAACTCAGTTATACATAAGTGAACCTGGTCAAAGCTCTAATTTAATGTGATATTTGTGTCTCTGAACAGATAACTCCTTACTTTTATGTGGTTTGAGAGCAGTGATGGGAATTCTCTTATTAATTGGGATTTTCATCTACTTTGCTTGGAAGAAAAAGAAAACTGAAAAAGCTGAAGTCTCTGCTGTCCCACAAATGATGGACTATCCAGACAACTCTGTTCTGATGGTTGAAATGAGAAGTTCTACTTCTTGCAATGTGTAGTGTCAACTTTGATCTACTGACATTTCACATCTCTGTGCGTGTGAAAATAACACTTAGATGACACGTATCTCTTGTTTTTATTCACTAATCATGTTTTACATTTACACAGCTTACACTGAATTACCATGAGAAGGTCTGAGTATCTTATGCATTTGTATTCTGTGGAAACTAATATAACAAATGTTGTAACTATAAGTAGAGTAGTCTTTTAATCTGAGACATTTTTTGGCCTAAAATCAAATACATATTACATAATTGCAAATAGAAATAATCAACCCACCAGAAACTACTGTTTGTACTAAACTGAATTTGAGCACTGTTGCAAGTGGTTGAAATCAACATCACTGATTCATACTGTGTACTTTTCTTTTGTTATTGCTACACTGTAACAATATATTTGCAGGACAGGTTTATTTATTGCTGCGTTTTCTTGCTTACCTTGTGTATCTGTCTGGTTCTGCCTTTTCTGTGTTTCCTTAACTTTCTGTCTTTGTGTCAAGCTCATATGTCATAGTCTAGGTATTAATGTTAGTCATTTCCTGTTTTAATTTGCCATCCCTTGTGCTTTGTGTTCTGTTTTGTTTCTCTTATTTCATTAGCCTGGGATAAGTGTCTGTACTCCCACCTCTTGCCTGTTCCCTCATCTTCCTATATGTTCATGTATGGCCTCAGTCTCATTTAGTTTCATGTTCTGTTCTTCCTCTAGACAGTGTGCCTCTTGCTGTGTGTTCTGCTGTTCATGTGTCCTACCAAGTAAACCTAGTTCATTAGTTCCTGTTTCTACCTTGATTGAATTATTCTATTCTGTATTTTAGTTTTTGTTCATTTAGCAATAAAGCTGTTTTGAGTTTAACTTCTGTCTTTGCGTCCTAACCTTCCTGCTACACAGCCAGTGACATGTGACACAGGAAGCATGATGTTTAGAGTGTGAAACAATAGCACAGTGTGACTGTCCATATCTTATCAAGATGTACAGTTTCAGAGCTTCTGCTTATAAGCAGATATGTCCACTTGCTTAGCCAAGTTTTGTTAAATTCAACCAGCAATTTTGTAAACAAAACATCTCAAAACCTTTGTTTTTAAATGGATACATGGACTGATACTGTGATGAGGTCAGAAACTGCAATAGATTTCAAACTTGTAGATGACTACTGTAAAACTGTTAACTATTAAATAGGTCAGTCCAAGAAAGCGTTGATGATAAAGAGTATTCTTATTGTTACAGCAAGTGTAAAATACCCTAAAAAACCTTTTATTGTCAACAGCTGTTTATTTTGGGTTCCTCTAATACATTTAGGGCCTTTGAGGTAGTGCAATAAAAACTACATTCAATAAAATCACTTTAAACAGAATATGGTCAGACAAAGCTTTAAATGGCCAAAAAAAACCCCCAATGAAAGCAGCATTATTTATATGTGTCAATGGAAGGAGCCATTATGTGAGATATTTACAATAGTTGTCTTGGTGTTATGCCTCCAATGTTCAGGTCTTAAAATGAAACGAGAAGCACTCAGAGTGTGCAAACCTCTACTAAGGCATTTACTTTGAAAGGAATAGTATTGTACTCAATTTGTTTACATTTATTCCTTTAAATGTTTTTGAAAAGTTTGTAGTACAATAAAATGGAATAGAGTAGACCGTTTTTGTCATTGTACATGTACAACCTAATTGCGGGTGCCCCACGCCACCTGTACAGGAATAAAATGAAGATAAGATGAAGAGAACGTGGTAATGGAGGATTTTTAGTGACTTATCAACCACAGCACATTCACCATTGGAGGTTTCACAAGCAACAAGATGAGTAATGAGAAACCTAAGCCAACTCCACCCTTTCTTGCATAGCCTAGGTGTGGGGGGTCTGGGTGGAGGCACAGGAGAGACACATAGCTACTCTCAGCTCATGCTTGAAGGTGACGGTTTGTGGCAATAATGTTCACTCTGTTGGGTTGTCAGGACAAGTGCACAGCAAAATCTCCAGTGTTAAATTAACACTAGAGAGTGTCTATATGGGTCCACACCTCTGAGTGTTAAATACAACACTGTTGAGTGTTAAATTAACACTTTTGACAGTGTTATATGTTTAAAAGTAACCTAGTCAGTTTTGAAGATTAACAATGGCTAACACTGAGCAGTGCTGATTTTCTAACACTGGGATATTTCTAACATTTTGAGTTATTACTTTTAAAATATTTTAACTCAGTTACTAACTCAGTTACTTTTTTGAAGAAGTAACTAGTAACTAATGCCACAACAACCATGCCACGTTCACAGCCACAAAATCAGCTTTCTTACGTATTTGAATGCTCAGTTTGAACTTCAGCAGGTAATCGTGATCATGTCTACTGTCGTGTTGGTTGGTTAGATTTGTGTTAACTGGAAGAAACCAGCAGAATAAGGCTTAGAGAGGGGTGGCCATCTGCCGCAACCAGTTGAGGGCGAGCAGATGAAGACAGAACAAAAACACACTGTAGAGAGCCAGAGATTAACAATAACTAATAATTAAATGCAGATTGGTGTAGAAACACATTGTGGAATAATGTCTGGAGTGGTGGAGATATGCTCTGGAGAGAATAAGAGTGAAATTCAGTAGAAACAAGACATAATACATGTGTGTGGATGTCAGGGAGATGGGTGAAAAGGTAAAAATGCAACAAGAAAAGGTAGTGATAGTGGATGAATTTAAATAACAAAAAATCAAAGCAACAGACAATGCATTAGAGAGGTAAGGAAGAGAGTGGTGGCAGGTTAAACTGGGTGGAGATGAGTGTCTGGGCTGATATGTTACAGAAGAATAGTAGCATAAGTGAAAGGGAAGCTTTATGAGATTATAGTGAGACCTGCTATGATGCATGGTTTGAAGAGTGTGCTGTTGTCAAAAAAACAAGAGACAGAGCAAATTTAATGTTTTATTTCCTTTTTCTTACTTTAGTCTGGCTTCCTTCATATATATATATATATATATATATATATATATATATATATATATATATATATATTTATCTTCATCAGTACAGACTTATAATATATGGGAAGAGCACAATACAATCAATACGAATAATAGCTCGATTATGTAACAGCTACATGTGTACTTGTGGTTTTGTATGGTGACTATTAATGCTGATTGACTTCATTTTATTCATTATTAGAATCTACTGGCATGCACATAACCTTAACACACAAAACTTCAGCAACACAACGATCGTGAATGTCTGTGAATGTGTTCTGAGGTTTGAAGTATTCTATTTTTTAAATGTATTAAACAATATATATATATGGCTTTATTATACAGCGTATTTTTGTCATTTCTGTGTTCAATTAGTTTCAAACTGGATATAAATCAGTTGTAAATATTAAAAGTACTTTTGAGAATTGGGTTTCTCTGACATACATCTTGCCTGGTCTGAGTTCACACATTTTTATTTGAAGCCGGTCACCAACAGGAAACCAGTTGTGCCTCTATGCACACAGTGTGCAAAGAGGCCTGCTTGCATTTATCCTGTGCTGTTTGCATCTTGGTAAAGTAGAGGAGTTTATCTGAAAGCTGCTGGCTAAGTTGACAGAAAGTGAACAGAGAGGAAAGAACTTAAAGAAGTCCAGACGCTTTTCTTTCCAAGCTCTTTAGACTACGATGACCTGGATGACTGAGAACCTTCACAGACAAACAGAGAGGAAACACGAAGCTACATTTGGACTGCGGGTGGTGCTATTAGGAGTTTCTTATGTTTAGCTCTGTTTAATTATTTAAAATATGCAATAGCTCTGTTATCAAGTACAGTCACTGAGTAGCTTTTAATAACATCCTTTGTGTTAAGTTCTGCAACTTAAAGCTTCACCTATGCTTGTAAAACTTTACACAAAAAATAATTCATTGTAATTCTTGGTACATTTTGATGTACCATTGACTGTAACTATAATTGTGGCTGATGTAGCTGCTGTATGATGAGGCTAATTAATATTTATACTTTGACAGCTACTGAATGTGTCAATAGACTCTGTGAGAAGCAAAGTTGGGTGATTTTGACACCATCTATTGATATCATGTTACTGTAATCGCATTGCAATTTTCATTACACTGTTATGACCCCTCATTTGTCTGTGAAGTCTAGGGGGCACAAGGGTGTAACACACAAGGGCAACAGCACAAGCCATACATAAGCCCATAAACGATGAGTCAAAGATTTATTTTACAATTTTACAAACAACTATTTATAATTAACTTAAGTAGGAGGAGAAAAGGAAGCAAATTCATCTTCAGGGTCTCCAAGGACAAAACAACAAACAAAAAATCCTCCTGGAAAGAAACGAACACACTAAACTCTAAAGTGAAACAAAAAAACACAAACAAAGAAAAACAAAACAGCAGAAAAGGTTTGCATGAATAAAAATAGTGAAGGAACCATCACTATCTACTGGCACGGATATCAGTGAAACTGAGACAGGGAAAGTGGATTCAGAAGGTTTGTCTTTTAGATGGGAATTTTGGGGGATCTTCCCTAAAGTCACTGGAACAGTTTCAGCATGTTAGTATAACACAGCCGTTTCTGCTTCCACCGTGCAGGTGTGTGGAGAGTCTGGTGTAATGTGCTTTTAACTTACTGCTGCAATTTCTGAAAAACTCTGTTGGTAACCTAGACTGTCAGCAGGTGAAAAAAAACACTGAACATCCTATATAGCTTTTTGTCTTGAGAAAAAACTCGATGTGTGACATCAGGACAACACTTAGCACCTTTGTCCAGCAGCTACAGGATATGAGGTGAGCAGCAAACAGAAAAGAAATTCTTCTCTCAAGAGTATTTGATCTTTTTTGATGCCAGATGTTTGTTTGAGGCTAGAGATTTTATTTTCGAAATACCTAAAGATTGCAGATCCACACAATCAACAATTACACACTCTAAAGACTCACCAACTGCAGAATGATAGGAACAGGTTGCACAAAGTGGTCACACTTACCAGCAATTTGACAAGTGCTACAGGTTTAGCTACATCAGTTTTAAGACCCAGCCAGAAAAACTGTTCCCAGCACTCAGCCAATGATGGAGGATGCGGTCATGTTTTTTTAACTTCTAAATGATCAGACTGTGAATGTTCATGGGCTAGCTGCAACACACCTTGGCTGTACCCCTTGGGAACTACCATCTGCCATACCGCACCCTAGTCCTCATCTTGATTTTCCTGCTTTAACTTAGGCCCATTTGTGCATAAACAGGTCATCTTTCAAGAAGATGCCTTTTTTCTCACTTGTTGTTTCTGTTACTTTTATAAAATATTTAGCAAGTGTAGCATCAGCTTTCTTGGCTTTCCTCGGGGATCCATTGACATAAGTAATTAATGGAAGACTTACAGATGTAGCATTAACTGTGTTCTGATCACAGGCTGTGGACTCTGAAGGGCTGACTGGGGATAATTTATCCTCTGTCAGGTAAAGAGAGAAGCCCTTAACTTTTCTCTGACAGTGTTAGTGAGCTCACTGTGTGTTTCTAATTTTAGAGATAACTTAGATAACTGCTTGAAGAAAGCGTGAATAAATTAGTGCACTAATTGTGGTCTACCAAGTGATGCACAGCACTTCAGAAATATCTAGACACCAAATAAATACATTTGCTCTAAGTTTTTTTCACTTTTTTTCCAAGTGACCATGATAACATGAGAAACTTAAGTTAGCTTGAGAACAGGAACATTACAGTGAAAAAGCATGCTTAGAAAAGTGTGAATAGCACAGTGTGGCTGCACATATTTTATCACCTTGTACAATATGTGTACTTCCTTTGCATTGCTGTGAACCAGGGGTGTCAAACTCAAATACACAGTGGGCCAAAGTTCAAAACTGGAACAAAGTCGCGGGCTAACGTTAATATTTATTGAAATATATTTATTCCTCCAGATATAAGAATGAATCTTTTCTTATGGACTCAAACACATTTTGCCAAAAACTGAATATGGAACAAGCAAAGCTTAATACTAAACAATATATATATTAGCTGTATAATACCAGCAGGCCAGCTCTGATAGTAATTCGGTATTGCTTCGCGGGCCAAATGTAATTAGGCTGCGGGCCAAATTTGGCCCGCAGCCTAATTACAAGCATCTTCAGTAACAAAACATCGTGAAACTCGAGTCTTTAACTAAACAGAATGACATTGTGATAGGATCCGACACTGATTGTAATACATCTCAGTGCATCTGACCACTGTGAAGCCATCATATACAAACGGGTCAGTACAAGACGTCAACATAAGAGAGCTGACAAAATGTTAACCCTTTAAAAACTGAGCCATGAGATAAGTGCCAGAAAATTCTAAATGTTTGAAAGTTGAGAGTTTCAATTGCTTAAAAGTGTATTGTGCAATTTATTTAGGGCTTTCACAGGAAAAAAAATCACACAGATGATATAGAATTTTAGAAAAAACTAAAAAAAAACCTGTATGTATCAAATGTGATATACTAGACAATAAGGGGTTCTCAGATTGATGACAGAATAATATCAATATTATTATTATCACTATGTTAACCAGTGTAAAAATGCCCAAATATAATTTAGCATGGACAGAGGGCATGGACAAAAGAAAGAAAAAAGAATCTCACATAACTAATTGTTGTCAGTGTTCATGGAAACAAAGGTGTAACTAGGCAATGAAAAGTTTGAAGCAGTATTATTATTCTGTTCCAGGATAGAGTGCCATTATATGAAAGAACAGTTATTCCTCCAATGTTCAGGTTTTAAAATGAAATCATAAGAACTGAAATCCAACTTCATTGCAGTTGTTACAGTATATGGGTGACGTATTTTGGTGGATTATACGTCTTGTTAAGATTTGTACAGTTATACTTCACATGCTAAAAATCTGAAATGACCCCTTGTTCAGCTTTAAAGATGAATGAATGAACCATTATTTAATTTCAAGAATACATTTTAGAACTGTATATTTTATTCAGTAATCTTAGATTTTAAACATGGAGTTAACTGCTATACTGCACAGTGTGTGTAAACACAAAATGTGCTGGTTGACCTGTTTGTCACGGGTTAGACATGTTTTTTTTTTTACAGTGTTTATAGATGAATAGATTATTTTTTATGGGCCAATTTATATTTTAGGCATGCTCAAAACATCACTTAGTAATAAATAATAAATGCTTCCCCTCCCTTCCTCGCAATCCATCACACATGAATCTTTTTTCTTGAAAGCTAAAAGAGGAAGGAAAACCGACACCACTTCCTTTTATCCCCTCAGTGCATGAATATACAAGTACAACTTCAAAACCGGACGCCAACGTTTTCACTCGCCTCTGAGGCTGCTTACTAACAATTTGGAGTCCGTTCAGAGCACCACACCCACCTTTGTTTTTGATGGAAAAGCTGCTGACTTGATCAACACAGGCTGAACAGACATGGAAGCTGCAGTTGGACTGTTGCTGGTGTTGCTTGGAGTCTCTCATGGTGAGTAACTTATTTTTGTCATGTCGTCTCTACTTATTAATTTCATAATCAATAATATGTTTCCTGCCATGATTAAAAAGGAGAGAGAGAGAAGAAAGTGCTATATTTAGCTAAAGATATTTTGTTCAACATATGTTGAACACAAACTATAGATCCTGTCGTACTATCGATCCAATACCAATAACAGTGCTGGTATCAATACTATTGATATTTGTGACAAAACATACTAATTTGAGTGCCCTGTTAACGAAGGCTATACCTTCATTAACAGGCCATATAGGCTATACCTATAGCAATAAAAATGAAGTAAGACTATGATGGTATAACAATAAGGCAACATGTTTCATCAACAAAACCCTAAAGCTACAGCAGCTAAATCATGCGAAAATGCAGTGTGAATGCCGTGTAGTGGAATCTGAAAACAGCAGAAGAAGGAGAGCCATCTGTTGAAAAAAGGTGTAGAAGCTGAACTCTGCTTTATTTGAAAGACTATACTGAAGAGTGTCAAGAAATCAGCCCATTTTGCTGACAGGAACCACATTATCAGTGTGATCACCAGTTTTGCTTGCCGGGCTGAGCCATGTTTTAGCTCGGTGAGATGAGCAGCCGTTCTCAGACCAGGAGGCCAGGGTTCGAATCCTGCTTATGGCAACATTTTCTTCAGTTAACACTTCAACTGTTTAAACTTTTTTCCACACAAATTTCAGCTTTTTCACCTCTTTTTAGCAAAAGTTTCAGTTTTTCACTACTTTTCAGCACAAATTCCAGCTTCTTAAGCTGTTTTTAGCACAAACTTCAGCTTCTTTTCCTCTTTTCAGCAGAAAGTCTGCTGATTCCCCTCTTTTCAGTACAATTTTCAGCTTTTTCACCTCTTTTTAGCACAATTTTCATCCTCTTCTGCTCTTATAAGCACAATTTTCAGCCTTTTCACCTCTTTTCAGCACAATTTTCAGGTTCCTTATCTCTTTTTTGCTGAACATTCAGCATTTTCACCTCTTTTCTTCTTCTGCACAGTGCACATTTTTTTTCTCTCATCATATCTTTGTTTCGGACAAGAAATGGTTTGGCGCAGTAGGATGCGCAGCTGCTGTGAGATCTGGTGGCAAGGGTTCGAGTACTACATGGGACAGATGCTGCACATCTTCCCTGCTTACATGTAATCTGCTTTCTTGACACTCTTCAGTGTAGTCTTTCAAATAAAGCAGAGTTCAGCTTCTATACCTGTTTTCAACAGATAGCTCTCCTTCTTCTGCTGTTTTCAGATTCCACTACACGGCATTCACACTACATTTTCGCAGGAAGTGCAACTTTTTCTAGTTGTATAATTTGAATTTGTAATTTTCTAGTTTTAGTTTGTAACTGTTCATCAGCACAGGGAAAATAGTGCTGCTAGCTGAACCTTAACTGTGATTCACAGACCTGTATAATGTTCATCTGTGACAGACAGTGGGCACAAAACCGTCATTTTTGGTTTAGGTAGACATTTGCAGATTTTGCCAAACTCAAATTTGTAACTTAAAAACAAACAAACCAACTGTGTATCCTTTTTTGTTTGCAGGTGTGGAAACTCACTGTGATGGCAGATGGGATGGAGCTCAGTGTTATGGACCTTTGGGAGGAACTGTGAAAATCCAGCTGATGGACAACACTTCAGAAATTAATAAATACAATTTGTTAAAAAATACATTAAAAATATTAAATGTAAGAAATAATAAGGTTACTTCTAATTCTATAAGAGTGGATCTTTTTCCCAGTAGAGGAACATTTAGGATCAATAACCTGAGCAGCTCAGACAGTGGTAATTATACCCTTCAAACCTTTGACTCAGATGGAAGATCATCAGGCGGGTGGACTTTACAGTTGTTCATTCAAGGTAAATGTTGGGAAATTAAGCCATTAATAGATTTTTGGTAATCCATATAATACATCTCACAAAATTTCAGATACATGTGTTTTTTGCGTTCCCTGTTTTTCATTAGAGACTATAAAGAATAACCAAATACTATTTTAAAAAACTGATCTGTGTGTGTGTTTCTCTCAGCTCCTGTGTCCTCTGTGGTGCTGCTCTCTGAGTGTCTGTCCCAGGGAGAGATGAGGGTGTCCTGCTCCTCTCAGGGAGGGGACAGTCCTCAGTACAGCTGGACTCTGGATGGACGCACACTGACAGATGCTCAGCTCCTTTCTGTAAATAATGAGACTAACATCATCACTCTGAAACAGCACGTGTCAGGACATCTGGTCTGCTCAGTCAGTAATAATGTCAGTAATGTCGACAAAGAGGAGAGAATATCGACCTGTGGTGAGTGAGAATATAAATAATCTGATATATATATGATAATTACTAATTCATTAATTAATTAATACAGTAACTTTGCATGAATTATGTGTTTTATTGCTCATAGGCTTTATTTTCATTAACTGTACTTCAGTCAATGGGACACAGATATCACGGTGGGTGTATAAAGCTAATAACACCCTGTGTACTCCACCAAAACAGACTTCTGTGGGTAAGGATTATGGAACTACCATCAGTGATGAGCCATGGTACATTAGTAAGTAAAAAGTAACTTCAGATCCATTGATGTAATTTTCTCCTTTGCTCATTCTCTGTCTTGATAAAAAACCAACATGTTTTCTGATTCAACCTGCTATCTGTTTGTGCCTTTTATTTTTGAAACAGGAAATTTGCCACTGATCGGTAGTGTTCTCTCAGCGCTGGTAATTTTCTTGGTTGTTGGTGTAGTAGTCATATGTGCTTTGAGGAAAAAGCAAAACAGCAAACCTCCAAAAAAGGGTACACTTTATTTCATCACTTATTTTGCTCAGATTGCTTTTTTGTTTTTTAGGATATACGGAATAGTAAGCTTTTTAAATACATTTTTGATTTCTTGTCAAGAGTTTATTGATAACTCTGTCATATATCAGTTAAATATGCAGATACTGCTATCCTGCTACAATTAACACAAAAACCTGTGAAACAGCTCTGTCTAAACAAAGCAAAATCCACAAACTATAAACTCTAAAGCTCGCTAAAGAACCCATGTCATATTTTGTGTGACTCATTTTATGTTATCTACTGTCTTTGTATTCCTTTAATCATTCACTTATTTTAATACTATATTTGAACCATCCCTTTTGCTACTTTGCAGAGGAAGAAGATGACCAGGAAGTCTTTGCTGATGTCAAGTTTGTCAAAAGGCAGGCAAACCAAGCTGAGAAAAAAGCTGCTGTGGAGCACGGCCAAGTAAAGTCTGCAAAGCGACCTCGGAGGTCTGAACCAGCAGGAACTGATTGTGTGTATGCTAACGTCCATAAAGTCAGGTGAAGAAGTGCTCAGTGCTTTTGGACAGACAGCTCCACTGAAAGTAGCTGGAGTGAGGAGCTGATGTTAAGATGCCTAAAGGTCCTTCATTTAATGTAAATTCCCCGTATAAAATACAAACCATAGCTTATAAGGTTTAATGTATTGGACTATTTAACTGTCACTTTTGTAATATATCAGGTCATTAACACAACTATTGTTACATGACCTCTTGATTTAATTACAAACACTGAGTGTTTTCTGCATCTGTACTCTGTGGAAGCCTTTGACTAGTTCTTCACTTGGTAAAGGTTCGACCAACATGTAAATGGAAACATGATAAAGAGAAAGCATTTTAACATTTATGAAAATATGACTGTAAATAAAGCGTCTTTTGTACCACACTTGTTATGTGAACAAAAATGTAGCTTTTCATATATTTTGGTTTTTGCACAGATACACTATAACAGTGTAATTGTAGAATATAAATGGGATATACCCCTGAGAGTGAGTACATAGTAGTGGTGGACAAGCAGAAGAGAAAGACTGTAGTGACAGATGTGGCTATACCAAGTGATAGCAACATCTGGAAGAAGGAACACAAGAAGCTTGAGAAATACCTAGGGGTGAGAGGGAAGCTAGAGAAGATTTGGAAGGTTAGGCCAGCAGTGGTCCCAGTGGTAATCAAAACACTTGAGGCTGTGACTCCCAAAATGGGCAAGCAGCTCAGAGATTCCATGAACAACATCCGAGATCTGTGTCCAGAAGAGCACAGTCCCAGGAACAACAAAGATCAGATCATCAAACAAATTTAAATAAAAGACAATGATAAGACAAATAAACAGAAAATGGGAGGATAAAATCCAAACCTACATAGCCCTGTGTGAAAAACTTGTGGGACATTTAGAGACCTATTAAGATCTATTAAGATGGTGGTTTATAGCAGTTGACACATGGCTGTGGGTATTAGGGTGTAGAGTCCGCTTGCCTGATATGTGTCCACTTGAACAAAAGCTTTTAGTGATATATTCACCACTAGCTGTCCTTCTCAGGTTATTGATCCTAATTATTGCATTAGTGGGACCACAAACCTGTTTCTGTGTTATAAAGTAGAACCTTATTCTTTTTTCCAGTGAGTACTTTTGATTGATCGTTTAACAGCTAGAATCTAAATATGCTATCTAAATAAAGTGTTATCCATCACTTAAATTGCCACAGATCACCCCAAAGCTTCATAGTGCACCCTGCCTTCACAAAAGGTTTCCTCATCTGCAAATAGAAAAAGAGAAAGCATCACCATTTCGAGTTATCAGTCCCAACCAGGACTCTGACCACAATTTGTAAATGTTAACCAAAAACAGAAAAAAGCATTTGGTTGCACCCATCTGTCTTAGTCCATGGTATGCAAAGGTGCTTCATGCAAGTCTGTGTCTGAAACACATTTAGGGTTCAGCTAACAACACTAAAGAACAGCTAAATATTATAACTGGGAAAAAAAAGTCAATTAAATTAATTCAGTTTTATTTACCTGTTTAGCTTCATGTGACGGCATCATGGCCTGCTGTGTCACCACCAATAATACAACTTACACTACTAATGAAAAAGAGACACTGTAGGGTCACTGTTCCTATCTTCAACCAACAAAAGAATATCATCTAACTAGTAATCCCCTCACACACACTCCTCCTCAGGGTCTTGTCCTGTCTTCTTTTAGGGCATGATGCAGTGGATCAGCCCTCTCCTGTTTGTTATGGTGGGGACTCGGAATTCTTCACAGGTTTTAAACATGTATTAATGTGAAGCATTGTATTTGCTTACTTAGGACAATCTGAAGGGAGGGGGGGGGGGGGGGGGGTGTGAAAAAGTGACAACTGCTTTTGACATGGCCAACATTACCATGTGACCTACTTTTGTTTCTGTTCACTTAGTGGGAAACTCCCAAACACCCACTCATAAACTCTCACACAAACATACACATGAACACAAAAATACTCCCCACCGGAAAGTAAGCATACATTTCAGCCTTGTTATCAAAAAGGGGGTGCATGAAGTTTCCCTTCCTGATTCACTGGATGTTGTAGCTTAAAGATATTTATTATTCAGTAAAACGTCTAGTTTTAAAAAGTGCACATATTTTAACAAAAATGATAATGATAAATTTAGGTTTTGCTTCAGAGAAGGAAAAGAGTGAAAGCATGAGTTTTAGACCAGTGTCAAAAGTTGAGTCTGCTTCACATTGCTGCAGGTGCTGTAGCACCCCCTGGTGCAAAAGTCAGATATCACAGCTGCCATAGTGCCATAATGCTGTCTAGTTCCTTGCATCCATCCATCTTTTTCATTACTGCCATCTTGTGGCCACAATCAGGTATTGTTGCTGAAAGCGACCTTGACCTCTAGGTAAAGGTAACATCTCCAGTAATCTGAAACTCTAATGAATGCGATAACTCGAGAAGGTGGCCACCATTCTTTTTAAATTATTAATTTTTTATTGAGGAAAAGAAAGTTACCCAAACTTACCCACTCCTATCTGAAAAAGTAATTACTTCATAACTTTAACAAGTGGTTGTGTGACCCTTAGCAGCAAGAACTGTGAAGCGAGCATCTTAATTGGATTTACGTGTGAACTTTGACTAAGGTCACTTCAAAGCCTTAATTAAAAAAATATATATATATATATATATTAAAAATATTTATTTATTGAGCCATTCAGAGGTGGACTTGTCGTATTTCTGAGCACGTCCTGAAATTCTTCTTGATGATTTTCTGGTAGAGCTCCTCAGAAATACCTAGATACCAATTGTTAAAGAATTCATTAAATATACTGGATGTGAGAGAGAAAGGGGTATTTCTAACTCCACATCACATAGATCTCTCCTTTCTCAATGCAATGGAAGATTTAAGATCAAGAAAGTGAACAGGAATGACAGCGGTAATCATAGCCTTTAAACTTTTGATTCAAGTGGAACATCATCAAGGAAATGGACTTTACAGTTGTTAATTCAAGGTAATTCTTGTTGGTTTAGAATGAATAAGAAGTTTTTAGTTTATATAATTTTTTCAAGTTTTATGGATATCATGTTTTGTTATTATGGTATTTCCCATTTAAAAGCTTAGCAACTGACTAACTGAACTCTACATACAAATTAAGAAATAGTGACAATGTTGTTTTCTCCAACAGTGTCATCAGTCATGATTCCACTCCTGTAGTTTTCATTTTTTTAAAACAAACAAACATGTAGTGTTTGTTTTAGACTGAACTGGAGAGTTTGTGTGACTTATTTTTTTTAGTTAGTTAATAAATTAGTTATGAATGACGTTCATTGTTAGTGTAACTTTGTGAGTGAATTGTGGTTGTAGTGACTGTGTAATAAGGTTCTTTATAGTATAATACAAAGTAGGTCTCTTTTTATTCCCAGTAATGGAAGATTTAGGATCAATAACCTGAGCAGGAATGATAGTGGTAAATATACCCTTCAAACCTTTGATTTAGATGGTAAATGGAAAAGAAACAGGCAAGCAGTCTTTACAGTTGTTCATTCAAGGTAAGGTAAGGAATGAGTTCAAGAACTTGATAGAAATTTAACATGGTTTTGAAAATCTTTATGATTTAACTCACAAAAATACAGTATAACACCCTTTAATCAAACTACCTGCAGCGATGGCACATGGCACAATAGTAAGTGAAAACTAACTCCAGTAAATTGGATTCATTTACATCACTTTGTGGCGGAGGTGTGGTCCCGGGCTCGGGCTGCAGGGAAGGAGTGGTGCAGTGAGCTCAATGGGGCGGTGCTGGCAGGTGGCAGGTGAGAACACAAGTGATGGCGTTTGGTCTGATGACGGTTTTCCTTCCCCTTTTTAGTGAGATGGGAGAGGAGCGGAGGGGAAGCTGGCAACAGCTGAGACCGGAGCTGTCCAGACTGTGGACTGTCACAACAAACGAAAACTCAAAATAAACATGTCATCTGGCTATAAAGAACTGTGTGTGTGTGAAGTGCATTTCACACACTTTCTTCTTTCTTACCATGAGAAGTAAGTGAAAACTCACAGCTCTGCCTAACATGTGATTTTGGTGTCTCTGAACAGATAATTCCTTGCTTATATGTGGTTTGAGAGCAGTTGTGGTAATTGTCTTACTAATTGGGATTTCCATCTATTTTACTTGGAAGAAAAAGAAAAATGAAAAAGCTGAAGCCTCTGCTGTCCCGCAAACAAGAGGAGATCCAGAGGACTCTGATGAGGTTCTGATGATTGAAATGAGTTCTGCAACTTACACCAACACCTAGTTTCACCTTTTATCAACTGAAATTTGACAAAACAACACATTTTTGTTTATATTCTTGGCAAATTATGTTCCTCACTTAAGCACCTCATGCTGAATTAAGCTGTGAGGGTTTTCTGCATTTTTATTTGTGGAAGCTTTGATTACAAAGGTTGTGAATGTAATCTGAACTTGGTAAAGGTGGAATCAGTCAAGTCAATTTTTTAATTCAAACATCTGAAACATTTAGTTTCACTAAGCTTTAAACAAGGATTTTTGTCTTAGAAGATTCGGGCGATTTGATTTTGTTTTTGTTTTTTTAAAGAGGAGGATGGCCTGAGACATTTTACTCAACTTCAGAACAGGAACATTAATGTGAAAATCTATGAAGTTCAGACACATGTGAGTCAACAGCATAGTGTGAATGTAATTTATCACCATGTGTAGTGTTGCCATGAAACAACATTAAAACCATAAACTTCAAAAACGAAAGACTAGAGTAAAATCACATGATGTTAACCTTTAAGTTAACTTTTGAACTCTTAATAATCTCATTATTACAAAATTTACCTTTTCTGGTAAAACATTAAATATTTGCTAAATTATGTTTGATCAATTTCATCTGTTTACAGAAATCCAAAAGAAGTGATAAAAGATTAGAAGCGTCTTTACTGAATTCTCTTATTTCTTCAGGTGAATTTTTAAAGTGGACCATCTGAAAAATGTAACGTCACCAAGCTGATTGAATGGACAGTACACAACAGAGGTAAAGAAGAGAGTGCAGGTAGGGTGGAGTGGGTGGAGACAAGTGTCAGGGAAGATTTGTGACACAAGAATACAAGATACCACCGGTTTACAAGATGCAAGTGAGACCTGCTTTGATTTATAGTTTGGAGATGGAGGCAAGAGTCAGAGCTTGAGGTAGCAAAGTTGAATGTGTCAGGATGTTCATTGGAGTGACCTGGATGGACATAATCAGAAATAAGTATGTGGAAGCAAGAAGGAGGAGGAAACTGAAAAGGCAACAAAATGGTACTGACAACGCCACTTGGGGGTGGAGTTACACGCCAGGAAATACGACATTAACTAGTGCAAAGTTTCACCAGTTACAAAGGCACTCAT